ACCTCCCAAAGTGCTGGGATTACAGGCGTGAGCCACCAGGCCTGGCCTGTTTTTTTGTTTTGTTTTGTTTTGTTTTTTGAGATGGAGTCTCGCTCTGTCGCCCAGGCGGGAGTGTAGTGGCACGATCTCGGCTCACTGCAACCTCTGCCTCCCGGGTTCAAGCGATTCTTCTGCCTTAGCCTCCTGAGTAGCTGGGACTACAGGCAGACACCACCACGCCCGGATAACTTTTGTATTTTTAGAAGAGATGGGGTTTCACCATATTGGCCAGGCTGGTCTCAAACTCCTGACCTCGTGATCTGCCTGCCTCAGCTGGGACTACAGGTATGGTCTACAAAGTGCTGGGATTACAGATGTGAGCCACTGTGCCAGGCCTGTGATTGCGGTTCTAATGATAGAAACCTCAATTACTTTTGTACCACCCTAATAAAGTCACAATTATTATCCCCATTTTACAGATAAAGAACCTTTAGCTGGGAGAGGCGGACCTCAAAGAGTCAGGTTTTGCTTTTGAATTCAGGTGTGATTGCCCCCCCAGGTCAGCAGAGGGCACTATTGCGTAGGGGCGGAGAGGACAGGCAGAGGTTAGGGTGGTTCAGCGTGCACAGCTCAAAGTTGCCTGGGTCACTTGCGGCAACAGCAACGGGGGCCAGGGCCGGCTTCAAGGCCAGCTCCTCATGCCATCCAAGGAGTGGCTCAGAAGGGACCAGCGCCTGGTGAGTGCTCTGCTTGAACCATGTTGAAACTGAAACCATGGGGGCATTTTTGCTTTATGCTGAGTGTGTACTCCCATGGGCTGGCTTTCTTTTTTTTCTTTTCGAGATGGGGTCACTCAGACTGGCGTGCAGTGGTACGATCTGGGCTGACTGAAACCTCCGCCTCTGGGGTTCCAGTGTTTTTCCTGCTTAAGCCTTCTGCGTAGCTGGGATCACAGGCACTCACCACCACACCCAACTAATTTTTGTATTTTTACAAAACAGGGTTTTCACCACGTTAGCCAGGCTGGTCTCAAACTCCCGACCTCAGGTGATCCACCTGCTTCGGCTTCCCAAAGTGATTACAGGCGTGAGCCGCCTCACCTGGCCATGCCACAGCCATTGTGTTATAGTAGGGTTCTCAAGACATTATAGCTGTCCTGGGGGAGCCCAAGTGACAGTCTAAAGGGGTTCTAATAGAGCCCTGGGGACGTGAAAACAGGATCCCAGGAAGAGAGAGGGTGTAGTCAGGGATCATTAGAGCAGAACCCTGAGGATTTGATTCAGGACAACCAGGTGATGCTGTAAATGGGCTCCTGAGATGGCGAAGGACCCTAGGGCATCTAGAAGGGTTTCCCAGGTGGCCTTAAGGGGCCTTGAGGCCTTTTTCTTTTTCTTTCTTTTTTTTTTTTTTTTTTTTTTTTTGAGACGGAGTTTCGCTCTTGTTACCCAGGCTGGAGTGCAATGGCGCAATCTCGGCTCACCGCAACCTCCGCCTCCTGGGTTCAGGCAATTCTCCTGCCTCAGCCTCCTGAGTAGCTGGGATTACAGGCACGCACCACCATGCCCAGTTAATTTTTAGTATTTTTAGTAGAGACGGGGTTTCACCCTGTTGACCAGGATGGTCTCGATCTCTTGACCTCGTGATCCACCCGCCTCAGCCTCCCAAAGTGCTGGGATTACAGGCTTGAGCCACCGCGCCCGGCTTTTTTTTTTTTTTTTTTTTTTTTTTTTTTTTGAGAAGGAGTTTCGTTCTTGTTGCCAGGCTGGAGTGCAATGGCACGATCTCGGCTCACCACAACCTCCGCCTTCTGGGTTCAAGTGAATCTCCTGCATCAGCCTCCCAAATAGCTGGGATTACAGACACATGTCACCATACTCAGCCAATTTTTTGCATTTTTAGTACAGACGGGGTTTCTCCATGTTGGCCAGGCTGGTCTCAAACTCCTGACCTCATGATCTGCCCACCTCAGCCTCCCAAAGTGCTGGGATTACAGGCTTGAGCCACCGCGCCCGGCCAAACCCCACTTTTAAAAAAGAAAAAAAAAGCCGGGCGCGGTGGCTCAAGCCTGGAATCCCAGCACTTTGGGAGGCCGAGGCGGGTGGATCACGAGGTCTAGAGATCGAGACCATCCTGGTCAACATGGTGAAACCCCGTCTCTACTAAAAATACAAAAAAATCAGCTGGGCATGGTGGCGCGTGCCTGTAATCCCAGCTACTCAGGAGGCTGAGGCAGGAGAATTGCCTGAACCCAGGAGGCGGAGGTTGCGGTGAGCCAAGCTCGCACCATTGCACTCCAGCCTGGGTAACAAGAGCGAAACTCCGTCTCAAAAAAAAAAAAAAAAAGGAGCTTTCTGAATGTCCCGGTAATGTTACAGCAGGGCCCTGGGGACATGAGACCTACTCACAGTGATGGTAGTCAGACTTCAAGGGAGAGCAGAGCAGGCTCCTGGGGGACACTGAAACAGGCCATCAAGGACTCCGCCAGGGTCCAAAGAACCGTAAAATGGGTCCCAGGGGCTTCCGGAAGAATGTCCTGAAGATTTGACAGGATCCCAAGGAAACCAGAGGGGACAGCTAAGGACAGGGCAGGTGCCTCGGCATTTTTGGGAAGAGCTGAGGATGCTGTCATTAGGATTCTCGGGAAGTTAAAGCAGGTTCTTTCTGTCTCTTAGGAGCGGGCCTCGGGGTGGGTCTCAGTGGATCTTCTAGTAGGACACAGGGAGAATCAGAAAAGCGAAGACATAAGGCCGGGCGCGGTGGCTCAAGCCTGTAATCCCAGGACTTTGGGAGGCCGAGGCAGGTGGATCACGAGGTCAAGAGATCGAGACCATCCCGGTCAACATGGTGAAACCCCGTCCCTACCAAAAATACAAAAAATTAGCTGGGCATGGTGGTGCGTGCCTGTAATCCCAGCTACTCCGGAGGCTGAGGCAGGAGAATTGCCTGAACCCAGGAGGCGGAGGTTGCGGTGAGCCGAGATCACGCCATTGCACTCCAGCCTGGGTAACAAGAGCGAAACTCGGTCTCCAAAAAAAAAAAAAAAAAAAAAAGTGAAGACATTCATGACAAGGACAGCACAGATTATAGATTTACCTCATGGTTAAGTTTTTTGTTGTTGTTTTTCAGACGAAGTCTCGGTCTGTTGCCTAGGCTGGGATATTAAGGTACTATCTCGGCTCACTGAAACCTCCACATCCCAGGTTCAAATGATTCTCCTGCCTCAGCCTCCCAAGTAGCTGGGATTACAGGTGCCCTCCACCGCGCCGGGCTAATTTTTAGTACAGACAGGGTTTCGACATATTGGTTTCAAACTCCTGACCTCAGGTGTTCCACCTGCCTCGCCCTCCCAAAGTGTTGGGATTACAGGCATGAGCCACCATGCCTAGCATTTTTTTTTTTTTTTTTTTTTTTGTAAGTAGAGACAGGGTCCCTCTGTGTTGGCCAGGTTGGTCTGAAACTCCTGGACTTAAGAGATCCTCCCACCTTGGCCTCCCAAAGTGCTGGAATTACAGGCATGCACCACCACACCTGGTCCCCCAACAGACTCTGAACCAGCTAATTGTCCACTAAACCTGGAGGCCAGTTCCTAAAATGAATCTCTCTCTGTGTATGCATATACACATTCTGTGGGTTCTGTTTTCCAGAGAACCTGACCCAGCAGTCCCACTCCCGGTGTATACCCAAGAGAGCTGAAAATAGACCAGGTGTGGTGGCTCACACGGTCATCCTAGCACTTTGGGAGGCCAAGGTGGGAGGCTGTCTTGAGCCCCGCAGTTTGAGACCAGCCTGGGCAACATAGCGAGGCGCTATCTCTGCAAAAATGCAAAAATTAGCTGGGCCTGGTGGCGGGTGCCTGTAATTCCAGCTACTTTGAGAGGCTGAGGCAGGTGGAGTGTTTGACCTGAGAGGTTGAGGCTACAGTGAACCATGATTGTTCCACTGCAATCCAGCCAAACCCTCTCTCAAAAAGAAAGAAAGAAAAGACTTCATGTTTGTTATATGATTCATTTTCTTTTCTTTTTTTTTTTTTTTTTTTGAGACGGAGTTTCACTCTTGTTACCCAGGCTGGAGTGCAATGGCGCGATCTCGGCTCACCGCAACCTCCGCCTCCTGGGTTCAGGCAATTTTCCTGCCTCAGCCTCCTGAGTAGCTGGGATTACAGGCACGCGCCACCACGCCCAGCTAATTTTTTGTATTTTTAGTAGAGACGGGGTTTCACCATGTTCACCAGGATGGTCTCTATCTCTTGACCTCGTGATCCACCCGCCTCGGCCTCCCAAAGTACTGGGATTACAGGCTTCAGCCACCGCGCCGGGCCCTATATGATTCAATTTCTATGAAATGTGCGGAATAGGCAAATCTATCAAGACAGAAAGCACATGAATGGTGGCGGGGAGCTGGGAGCAGGGTGCTTAATGGGAACAGACCTTCTGTTTGGGGGCCATAAAAAAGCTCTGGAACTCGATAGAGGTGACAGTGGCACAGCATTGTAAATGTGTTAAATGACAGTAAGGGTAAATTTTTTTTTTTGAGACAGAGCTTCGCTCTGTCCCCAGGCTGGAGTGCAGTGGCACCATCCCGCTCACTGCAATCTCTGCCTCCAGGGTTCAAGCGATTCTCCTGCCTCAGCCTCCCAAGTAGCTGAGATTACAGGCACGCGCCACCACACCTGGCTAATTTTTGTATTTTTAGTAGAGATGGGGTTTCACCATGTTGGCTAAGATGGTCTCGATCTCCTGACCTCGTGATCTGCCCGCCTCGGCCTCCCAAAGTCCTGGGATTACAGGCGTGAGTGACTGCGCCCGGCCAGTAAGGATAAATATTTTGAATATTTTACCACAATGAAACAAGTGCATGGGGAGCTTTGTAGCAGGAGTGTGGGCAGGGGCCGCAGCAGATGGGGACCGTGTGGCCACTGAAGCCCTATCAGAAGAATGTTAAAGGGCACCTGCAGGAACTTTTTAAAGGAATGCGGCGGTGGGGGAGGGCTTGAAGGAGGCACTATGGAGGCTTCCAGAATGTTCTGATGAACAGCGGGCGCTGGGGAGGGACAGGGGGATACAAAGGGGCAGGAGGAGGATCCAGAGACCTCCAGCTTGCGGACTCCGGGAGCATCCAGTTTCCTCCCTAGCTCTGTCAAGAGTTCCCTGGGCGGTGGGCGCCCTCCAAGTCAAAAACAGGAACCATGGAGAAGGAAAAAAAAAGAGCCTCAAACGTTTTGAGAAACAAACAGGCTGGGCCTGGGGCCTGGGGTGTGCCCTGCAACTGGGGGGTGGGGCTGGATTTTCTTGGACTCAGGGAGCAGCAGCCTCCCCTCCCACAGGATGTGAGAGAGGAACCGGGGTCTCCAGTCACGGGAGCCCGGAGCCAGCCAGGGCCGCAGGCAGGAAGGGAGCGAGGCTGAAGGGAACGTGAGCAGAACAGGGCCCAACGGAGGAGGAGGGGCTGGGGGTCTGGGCACTGGGTCTGAGGGAGGAGGGGCTGGGGTCTGGACACTGGGTCTGAGGGAGGAGGGGCTGGGGGTCTGGACACTGGGTCTGAGAGAGGAGGGACTGGGGCCTGGATTCCTAGATCTGAGGGAGGAGGGGCAGGAGCCTGGACTCCAGGGTCTGAGGGAGGAGGGGCTGGGGGCCTGGACACTGGGTCTGAGGGAGGAGGGGCTGGGGGCCTGGATTCCTAGATCTGAGGGAGGAGGGGCTGGGGGCCTGGATTCCTAGATCTGAGGGAGGAGGGGCTGGGGTCCTGGATTCCTAGATCTGAGGGAGGAGGGGCTGGGGGCCTGGACTCCCGGGTCTGAGGGAGGAGGGACTGGGAGCCTGGACTCCTGGGTCTGAGGGAGGAGGGGCAGGAGCCTGGATTCCTAGATCTGAGGGAGGAGGGGCTGAGGGCCTGGACTCCCGGGTCTGAGGGAGGAGGGGCAGGGGCCTGGATTCCTAGATCTGAGGGAGGAGGGGCTGGGGGCCTGGACTCCCGGGTCTGAGGGAGGAGGGGTTGGGGGCCTGGACTCCCGGGTCTGAGGGAGGAGGGGCTGGGGGCCTGGACTCCCGGGTCTGAGGGAGGAGGGGCTGGGGGCCTGGACTCCCGGGTCTGAGGGAGGAGGGGTTGGGGGCCTGGACTCCCGGGTCTGAGGGAGGAGGGACTGGGAGCCTGGACTCCTGGGTCTGAGGGAGGAGGGGCAGGAGCCTGGATTCCTAGATCTGAGGGAGGAGGGGCTGAGGGCCTGGACTCCCGGGTCTGAGGGAGGAGGGGCAGGGGCCTGGATTCCTAGATCTGAGGGAGGAGGGGCTGGGGGCCTGGACTCCCGGGTCTGAGGGAGGAGGGGTTGGGGGCCTGGACTCCTGGGTCTGAGGGAGGAGGGGCTGGGGGCCTGGACTCCTGGGTCTGAGGGAGGAGGGGCTGGGGGCCTGGACTCCTGGGTCTGAGGGAGGAGGGGCTGGGGGCCTGGACTCCTAGATCTGAGGGAGGAGGGGCTGGGGGCCTGGACTCCTGGGTCTGAGGGAGGAGGGGCTGGGGGCCTGGACTCCTAGATCTGAGGGAGGAGGGGCTGGGGGCCTGGACTCCCGGGTCTGAGGGAGGAGGGGCTGGGGCCTGGACTCCTGGGTCTGAGGGAGGAGGGGCTGGGGCCTGGACTCCTGGGTCTGAGGGAGGAGGGGCTGGAGCCTGAAGGCGGCGGAAGGGGCGGGGCCGGGACTCTCAGCCTATCAAGTTTCTGTAATTAATTAACCAGCGGAGCTCCAGTTTTGGGGTGAAAGGTCTCCGGGTGGGAGGCGGGCGTTGCTGGCGGTCTGGACGGAGCCCGCAGAGCCCCTCGTCGGCGTCCCGGTCCGGCCCTGCCCGCGAAGCCCGGGAGGAAGGGGCGGGCCGGGGGTCGGGAGGAGTCACGCGCCCCCTCCCGCCCCAGGTCGTCCTCTCAGCATGGGGGTCCCGCGGCCGCTGCCCTGGGCGCTGGGGCTCCTGCTCTTCCTCCTGCCCGGGAGCCTGGGCGCAGGTGAGGGCCGCTCGGGGCCGGGGCCGTGCAGCGGGCGGGCGGCGGGAGGCGGCCCCGGGCGGGACGGGGCGAGGCCGGCGGGACCCGAGTTCCCCGCGAGCGCCGGGCGCTGCCTCCTCCGCTCCGTCCCCTACTCTCGGTCTCCTCCCCGGCCTGAGGCTGCAAACCGCCTGTCGCCTCTGTCTCTGGGTCTCCGTCCCCTTCTCTCTCCCTGGGTCTCTGTCCCCCTCTCTCCCTGGGTCTCTGTCCCCCTCTCTCCCTGGGTCTCTGTCCCCCTCTCTCCCTGGGTCTCTGTCCCCCTCTCTCCCTGGGTCTCTGTCCCTCTCTCTCCCTGGGTCTCTGTCCCCCTCTCTCTCCCTAGGTCTCTGTCCCCCTCTCTCTCTGGGTCTCTGTCCCCCCTTCTCTCTGGGTTTCTGTCCTCTCCTTTCTCTGGGTCTCTGTCCCACTCTCTCTTTCTGTCTCTCTGGGTCTCTGTCCCCCTCTCTCTCTAGGTCTCTGTCCCCCTCCATCTCTGTCCCCCTCTCTCTCTGGGTCTCTGTCCTCTCCTTTCTCTGGGTCTTTGTCCCACTCTCTCTCTCTGTCTCTCTGGGTCTCTGTTCCCCCCCTCCCCCGGTCTCTGTCCCCCTCTCTCTCTCTGAGTGTCTGTCCTTCTCTCTCTTGGTCTTTGTTCCTCTCTCGGAATCTATCCCCCTCCCTCCATAATAGATTCTTCTCCCTCCCTGGGTGTCTGTCCCACTGCGGTCTGGTTCCCTGCCCGTGCGCTCGCTTCAGCTCTGTCTCTGTCCGCAGAAAACCACGTCTCTCTCCTGTACCACCTCACCGCAGTGTCCTCGCCTGCCCCGGGGACTCCTGCCTTCTGGGTGTCGGGCTGGCTGGGCCCGCAGCAATACCTGAGCTACAGCAGCCTTCGGGGCCAGGCGGAGCCCTGTGGAGCTTGGGTCTGGGAAAACCAGGTGTCCTGGTATTGGGAGAAAGAAACCACAGATCTGAGGTTGAAGGAGAAGCTGTTTCTGGAAGCTTTCAAAGCTTTGGATGGAAAAGGTGAGACTCGGACTCCTGGGTCTCGAGGGGTGAGAGGCTGGGGCCGTGCTCCCGGGCCCCGCTTACCTGCGTGTGGGGACCCCAGGTCCATACACCCTGCAGGGGCTGCTGGGCTGTGAACTGGGTCCTGACAACGCCTCGGTGCCCACCGCCAAGTTCGCCCTGAACGGCGAGGAGTTCATGAGTTTCGACCTCAAGCAGGGCACCTGGGATGGGGACTGGCCCGAGGCCCTGGCCATCAGTCAGCGGTGGCAGCAGCAGGACAAGGCGGCCAGCAAGGAGCTTACCTTCCTGCTACACTCCTGCCCGTACCGGCTGCGGGAGCACCTGGAGAGGGGCCGCGGAAACCTGGAGTGGAAGGGTGAGCTCTCTGCAGCCCACGCTGTTCTGTCCTCTCCCCCGCCACGACCCCTGCCTCAGGGCCCCTGCCCGGACCCTCAGTTGGCCTCCCACTGAAGCCCAAGCTCTGCACCCCCTTCCTCAGGGGTCCTTCTGCACCCACCACCCCTGCCCCCTGCCCACTCACAGCCCTCACGTGGCTCCCCAGAGTCCCCCCAGGACAAACACCTGGCTTTCTTGCCTCTTTATCTGTGTGTGTGTGATGGAGTCTCACTCTGTCGCCCACACAGGAGTGCGGTGGCGTGATCTTGGCTCACTGCAACCACTGCCTCCCAGGTTCAAGGAATTCTCCTGCCTCAGCCTCCCTGTAGTCCACAGGTGCTCACCATCACACCCAGCTAATTTTTGTATTTTTAGTAGAGATGAGGGTTCACAATGTTGGCCAGGCTGGTCTCGAACTCCTGACTTTGTGATCCACCCGCCTCGGCCTCCCAAAGTGCTGGGATTATAGGGGTGACCCACTGTGCCTGGCCCTTGCCTTTTTTCTTTTTTGAGACAGATTCTCACTCTGTCACCCCAGGCTGGAGTGTGGTGGCACAGTCTCGTCTCACTGCAGCCTGAACCTCCCAGGCTCAAGCCATCCTCTCACTTGAGCCTCCCAAGTAGCTGTGACAGCCCAGCAGCAGCACACCAGCTCACTTTATTTTTTCTGGACATGGTGTCTCACTATGTTGCCCAGGGTGATGTGGAACTCCTAGGCTCAAGTGACCCTCCTGCTTTGGCCTCCTGAGTAGCTGAGATTACAGGTGCACACCACCATACCTGCCTGTCACCCAGGCTGGAGTGCAGTGGCGCAATCTCAGCTCACTGCAACTTCCGCCTCTCAGGTTCAAACAATTCTCCTGTCTCAGCCTCCTGAGTAGCTAGGATTATAAGCGTCTGCCACCAAGGCCAACTAATTTTTTGTATTTTTAGTAGAGACGGGGTTTCGCCATGTTAGCCAGGCTGGTCTCAAACTCCTGACCTCAGGTGATCAGCCTGCCTCGGCCTCCCAAAGTGCTCAGATTACAGGCATGAACCACTGCGTCCAGCCTTTTTTTTTTTTTTTTTTTTGAGACAGTCGCTCTGTTGCTTTGGCCAGGCTGGTGTGCAACGGCATGATCTCAGCTCGCTGCAACCTCCGCCTCCTGGGTTCAAGCAATTCTCCTTCCACAGCCTCATGAGTAGCTGGCATTACAGGCACACATCACCACGCCCGGCTAATTTTTTGTATTTTTAGTAGAGACGGCGTTTCACCATGTTAGCTAGGCTGGTCTCAAGACTGCTGACTTCAAGTGATACACCCACCCCAGCCTCCCGAAGTGCTGGGATTACAGGCGTGAGCCACCGCGTCTGGCCATACCTGGCAAATTTTTAAAATTTGTTGTAGAGATGGCATCTCACTGTGCTGCCCAGGCTGGACTCAAAACTCCTGGCCTCAAACAGTTGTCCCACTTTGGCCTCCCAGAATACTGCGATGACAGGTGTGAGGCCTTCCTGGCTTCATGTCCTCCTCAGACCCACGCAGCAGCCGTCACAACAGCAGGGTCGTCCCTCTGAGCATTTGCTCGGCCACTTCCCCCTGCTGATCCACCCTCCCCTCTCTGCATATGCACCGGCCCTCCTTATTCTTCAAGGTCAGGGCTGGACATGAGTTCCTCTGAGAAGCCCTCCCTCCGCTCTGCAGGGCAGAGTTCACTGTTTTCCTCCCCGGAAGCCCCCACATCCCCATTCATTGAACAAATGTTGGCCAAGAGCATTCTGCAGTTTCAGGCACTGCTCTGGCCTTGAGCAAAGGGGGAAGTGACACAGTTCACCCTCTGCGGCTCCCAGGCTGCTGGAAAAAGATGTCAGCTGGGGAGTTGCGCAGATATTCACTCCAAGGGCCACAAAGGAGAAGCTGACATTCAAACAGGTAGATCTTCCTTTTTTTTGTTTTGAGGTGGAGTTTTGCTCTTGTTGCCCAGGCTGGAGTGCAATGGCGCGATCTCAGCTCACTGCAACTTCCACCTCCTGGGTTCAAGCGATTCCCCTGCCTCCGCCTCCTGAGTAGCTGGGACTACAGGCGCCCGCCACCATACCCGGCTGATTTTTTTTTTTTTTTTTTTGGAGACACAGTCTCGCTCTGTCACCAGGTGCCAGGCTGGAGTGCAGTGGTACGATCTCGGCTCACTGTAACCTCCACCTCCCGGTTTCAAGCAGGTCTCCTGCCTCCGCCTCCCTAGTAGCTGGGACTGCTACTCGGGATGAGCCACCACACCTAGCTAAGTTTTGTATTTTTTAGTAGAGACGGGGTTTCACTATGTTGGCCAGGATGGCCTCGATCTCTTGACCTCGTGATCCGCCTGCCTCAGCCCCCCAAAAGTGCTTGGATTACCCGTGTGAGCCACTGCACCCGGACTGACTTTTTGTATTTTTAGTAGAGATGGGGTTTCTCCATGTTGGTCAGGCTGGTCTCGAACTCCCAAACTCAGGTAATCCACCTGTCTCCACCTCCCAAAGTGCTGGGATTACAAGTGGGAACCACCACGCCGGGCTCCTTCTTCCCTAAGTAGGGAATTTTTTTTTTTTTTGGAAACAGATTCTCACTCTGTCACCCAGGCTGGAATGCAGTGGTGCAGTGGCGCGATCTTGCCTCACTGCAACCTCCGCCTCCCAGGGTCAAGCAATTCTCTTACTTCAGCCTCCCGAGTAGCTGGAATTACAGGCACACACCACCATGCCTGGCTAATTTTTATGTATTTACTAGAGACGGGATTTGACCATGCTGGCTAGAGTGGTCTCAAACTCCTGAGTTTGTGATCCACCCATGTCGGCCTCCCAAAGTGCTGTGATTACAGGCGAGAGCCACCATGCCCAGCCTAGGTAGGGAAAATTTCAAACCACGCTTAAGTAGAAACAGTAGTATAACAAGGACCAGGCACAGTGGCTCACACCTGTAATCCCAGCATTTTGGGAGACTGAGGCGGGTGGATCACTTGAGGTTGGGAGTTTGAGACCAGCCTGGCCAACATGGCGAAACCCATCTCTACTAAAAATACAAAAATTACAATAAATTTAAAAAAAAAATTACAATAAATAAAAGAAAGAAAGAAAAAAACTAAAAAAATTAGCCTGGTGTGGTTGCACGTGCCTGTAGTCCCAGCCACTGGGGAGGCTATGGTGGGAGGATCGTTTGAGCCCAGGAGTTTGAGGCTGCAGTTTCTGAACTATGATTGCAGCACTATACTCCAGCCCAGATGACAGAGCCAGACCCTGTCTCAAAATGAAAAAAATATGTATATGGTGGCTGGGTATGGTGGCTCACGCCTATAAATCCCAAAACTCTGGGAGGCTGAGGCAGGTGGATCACATAAGGTCAGAGTTCGAAACCAGCCTGGCCAACATGGGTGAAACCCCATCTCTACTAAAAATATAAACATTAGCCAGGCATGGTGGTGCTCACCTACAATCCCAGCTACTCAGACAGAGGTTGTAGTGAGCCAAGATTGCACCATTGCACTCTAGCCTGGGTGACAAGAACAAAACTCTTGTCTCAAAAAAAATAATAATAATCGGCCGGGCATGGCTCAAGCCTGTAATCCCAGCACTTTGGGAGGCTGAGGCGGGTGGATCACGAGGTCAAGAGATCGAGACCATCCTGGTCAACATGGTGAAACCCCGTCTCTACTAAAAATACACAAAATTAGCTGGGCATGGTGGCGCGTGCCTGTAATCCCAGCTACTCAGGAGGCTGAGGCAGGAGAATTGCCTGAACCCAGGAGGTGGAGGTTGTGGTGAGCCGAGGTCACGCCATTGCACTCCAGCCTGGGTAACGAGCGAAACTCTGTCTCAAAAAAAAAAAAAACTATTTGTTTTGAAGTCCAATTTTTTTTTCTTTTTTTTTGAGATGGAGTCTCACTGTGTCACCCAGCCTGGAGTGCAGTGGTGAGATCTCAGCTCACTGCAACCTCTACCTCCCAGGTTCAAGCAATCCTCCTGCCTCAGCCTCCCGAATAGCTGGGAATACAGGTGCACACCACCATGCCCAGCTGATTTTTGTATTTTTAGTAGAGACAGAGTTTCACCATGTTGGTCAGGCTGGTCTCTCATGATCCACCCACCTTGGCCTCCCAAAGGCTGGGATTAAATACAGATGTGAGCCACCAGGCCTGGCTGGAGTCCAGTTTTTTATCAGATAGGTATTTTGCAAGTATTTTTTTCACTCACTGGGTTTTCTTTTCATTGTTTTAACTGTGCCTTTCACAAAGGAGAAGTTTTTAATTTTGATGAAATCCAGTTTATTCTTTTTTTCCTAGCATGGATTATGCTTTTGGTGTTTTATCTCTCAAGTAATTGCTAAACCAAACAGCTAGATCTGTGTATCTTCAGGGTTTTAAAGTTTTGTGTTTTACAGTTAGGTCTGTGATTCATTTTGAGGTAGTTTGAGTTAATTGTGATATTGAGTGTCTTTCGATTTATGGGTTTCCATTTTCTTTTTTTTCTCTTGTGATTGTGCTTTGAAGTAAGTCAGCTGTACGTCCTGTTTGAGTTTCCTGCAGACTGGGCTTTGCTCTTTTCATTCTGTGATGTTGCTGGACATAGTACTCCTTCCCTTCTGTAAAGGAGCGGCTCAGTCTAGAAGCTTAATCAGATTCTGGTTCAATTTTTATGGCAAGAAAACTTCCTGGGTTGTTGGTGCGTACGTCTGTGCGCACAGGCTGCAAACACTGCAAACACAGCACAGAGTAGCTGTGCTGCAGACCGCTAGATCCAGGTGCTGTTATGAAGTTCTCCGTCAGGTTTTCTCCTGATGGTTTTAGCAGGCAGCAGTAGCATTGCCTTAATCTTTTTTTTTTTTTTTTTTTGAGAGGGAGTCTCGCTCTCGCTCAGTCTCCAGGCTGGAGAGTGCAGTGGCACGATCTTGGCTCACTGCAACCTCTGCCTCCCGGGTTTAAGTGATTCTCCTGCCTCAGCCTCCTGAGTAAGCTGGGATTTCAGGTG